GTGCAGGTAGACGTGGCCTGTTTCTTGGTTCTGCTCCTTTCCCCCTCGGCTGGGAGGTGGATGCCTGTGGGCTTGGGGGCTGGAGGATGGGGGGAGCTGTGAGACTGGGATGGGGGGTGTCGAGGTGGGAAGCTCTCTGAAAACAGGCATTGTGGGCATGATGAACAGGGTTAATTTCAAGTGAAATGAAATTACAGTTAGAAAATTGGAATGAATAATCCAGTTATTCTCCAGACCCAATAATAAAATGCTGAATTCCAGATTAATGTTCTATCATCCCCATCAGATTTCTCTCTTGAAAAATAGTTATTTCGAGCGTTAAATCCTAGCTCTTGCTGCAGCATGTCCGTTGGACAGTGCTGTGCTCCCGTGTTTCTGGCAAGAACAAAGGGGAAATGGCAGCCTTGTCGTTTCCGAACACTGTAAAGGGCCCAGCACAACAAACCTGCCCAATACTGTCGCTGTTTGGGGAGTAAAGGAATGACCTTATCGCCTGGAAGTGACTGGGTGAAGGGCATGGTCATCTTTGTATAGATGATGTCTTGCTGTATGCAACGAGTCTGCATAAAACTGGTGAAGTGGAACAGAAGGAAGCAGGAGGGAACAGGATCTGTGATTTCCTTTCATGTCAGGACGTAAAAAGCTTAGGGCAGAGCTCCGTTCGAGAGCACTGGTCTGTCAGGTCCCAGAAAACAAGCTTTTTCTGGTCCACTTAACCAGAAAGGGAGGGGAGAATTATTTCTAGTCCAAAGTAGTCCTTAGCTGTGCTTGGATTTTAGTGCTTAGCTGTTTATCTTGGATTTTTGTCGGTGGTTGAGACCCGCTCTGTGGAGTTGTCTTCTCTCCTTGCCCTCGCTTGCACACCCACTTTGTGCAGCGCAGATGGAGGGGCGGTCGGCAGGCTGGGGGCTAGAAGAAGAATGGCCCACCGACCCGTTAACCTGTGCTGCTTGCGGGATAAGGATGCGGGAAAAGAACTGTTGTTAGGATAAAGTCTTCAGTTGCCCTGTTTTCACATCTATTACCTTTATATTTGAGCTAGTTGCTCATGTTCCTTTAATGGTTTAATGCTTTTATTTCTGCGGTTACAGCCTCTGCCTGTAGGGAGCCTGGAGTTTGGGTGTTAATAAGTAAAAATTAGGGTCCTTATTCTCTGTGGAGGAATGCTCTTGGGCGCTGTGGTAATTTCATGCCTGGAAGGAGTCATGTTTGCTGGATGTTTTTTTGTAACTTAAAACAACCAAATTAGCCTTGAGAATCTATAGTTCTTAATCAGGGTATTGAACTCTGTGCTCCATTAGTTAGAAACCTCACCAGGCTCCTGGCGCCCAGGGTGGATGTTTGGTTTGCAGAGGAGGACAGTGGTCTGCCTTTGTCACTGTTCGGGGCAGCAGCGATCCCTGGGTTTCAGGCTGTTCGTAACACTCTGAGTGCTTCCTGGGGTCGGGCGCACTGTCGTGTCAGTTCGGCTGCTCTTGCAAAATGAAGTGACTAAGTGATGTTTGGCTTCCTTCTGTTCCCACCAAAAGACTGCTAGAGAATAATAAAGGGCAGTTTGGATATTAGTAGAGATTTGTTTAATAATTCCAGTAAATGGGGTTCCAAAAGTGCTGGAAGGGGGCAAGGTGAGAAATGCCAGCCGGTGTGTGTCTGGCTTGTGGGACTGCACCCACAGCAAAACGCTGTTTTGGCTCAGGGATTGTTTGTTCTAGGGTTTGACTTCTATGAATCTTAACTCTGTCACTTAAATATGGTCGTCTTCATGAAACGGGGTGGGAAGGCCTTATGTTCTCCACTTCTGAAGGATGCCAGAGCCTGGAGACACAGCTGTATCCTTGGAGTCTGCCGTGAATGGGATTATAGAATTTCAGAGTCACAGAATGGTAGGGGTTGGAAGGGACCTCTGTGGGTCATCTAGTCCAACCCTCCAGTCCCATTGTCGCTCCTTCTAGGTGAGCTGAGGCATGGCCACTGGCAAGCTCCGTCGCCCCAAAATGTCCAATGGGTTCCAGAGCAACGTGGTAGCACCTCGTAATCCAAAGCTAGTCAGAGAGGCAGAGGAGCCTGTAACTGTAAGTATCTGCTGTGGCTAGGGAAGGGCCGGGGGAAGGGGGGGAAAAGCACCCCCGCCTGTCCCTCCGGTTGTCTAGCAGCATGGTGAAGCTGGGCACCACCTCCCCATCTCTTCACTGCCATGCTGCTGTTGGAGGTGGCCATCATGCTGCGGTGGGGGATGGACTGTTCTGCTTCAGGGAAAGTCCAGAGTCTCACCTGGATGGGCCAATGGAGCCAAGTTAAATGAATGTGCTGGGCATTGCTCTGGAATAGATGGAGCATGAGCGTGTGCTGCTTTCTATCCTTGTTGCTATCGTGGGCAGTAACATCTTCTGTAATGTAGGCCTAGTTGCAAGTGCTGCTCTGACCATACCTCTGGGCAGCTGGGCATGTGGTGGGTTGCTCCAAGTCTGCTTGAAGACTCAAGAGACGTGGCTGGTCCCACATAGACTAGGTTCCAAGCAGCTCTTTTATTGTGTCTCGTATCCTGCGTGGAGAGCAGATCCAGCCCCGCAAACAGCTATGGAGTCAGGGCAATTCCTCCTTCCCATCTACACACATCCCCTTTGCTGACCAGAGGTGACCCAACACTGAGGCTCTGTCAAGGAAATATCTCTGTGTACTTCTGTGGAGGGGTCTGTGAGGCCAGAACAGAGAGAAAACAAGTGCTAGTTAAAAAGAGAGAACTCCCAACTTGGACGCATTCCTCTCCACCTCGGTCTGGGCACAAGGCTGCTTTTCTGCTTTCCTTCGACTCACCCAGCAGTGATGTCTCCACATGTGTGTTGGCTGTGAGCATTGTGCAAGGATGGAGCTGGGGGAGTTCTGGTAACTCCTCCCCGCTCCCTTCAAAGGTCACTGGCTTAATCCAGCAAAACTAAAGAGGAAACAAATGCCTGAAGAGCAGAAATCCCCAAATGTGTCACATCAGATCATGAAGGAGAAGCTAATGGGACAGAGCCACTCGGTTAGAGCATGTGTATTCTGCTCTGTATTATTAATTTACTGGTGTTAAATATTTCAGCAGGTAGCTTATGGGACTTCCAGGACTACCCTAGTGGCGGGAATCACAAATTATTCATCAGTGGCACTTGAACAAGGAAAGCCTTGCTGAGCATAGGCAGTTCTGTAGCTCTTGCTGGTGTTTTGTGTTTCAGCTGACTCCCGTCGCCTTCCTGAAGGAGATGTCTCTGAGGAGAGGTCTCTGACCACCAAGCAGAGGCTGGCCAGCACTCGGGAGATGAGGGGGCCCCGGATTATCCAGCTGTTAGACATGAGTGAAACCTCACATCAAAAGGTAGCCTTTCCCTGCCCTTTTCCTTGCTGTTTGTGACATTTGGAGAGAGTGCGTGCTTGTGGCAGGCGGTGGCTACCTCACTGACGGGGTCCTGTTGTCCTTGCAAACTGCTGCTGGTGGCAGAGTTCCTTCTGCTGGGGGAAAAGCGATGCTGGAGGCCTGATCTGTGTTAAGCCAAGAGAAATAACCTCTGCTGAAGTTGGTGGGCTTTGCTGGAGTTGAGCTGCTGTCTCTAAAGCACGGTGCTGGACGAAGGCTGTGGTAGGACACAAGGGCATGAGCTTGCTGTTTTCCACCCTCCTGCTGGCAATAGCCACTGCTTTGGTGCTGTCACATGCTTGGGGGTTGTAGGACTCCTTCCATGGCAGCAGCATTGGCCTTTGCAGGCTGAGGGCCTGTGCTAATTACTCACAATTTAACAAAACCAGCTGCGTTAATGCTGTTGAGTGGAACAAGATGTGGGACCCTTACAGGGTGTGAGGTTTGGAGGCTGCAGGATCCTGCCAGATGGACAGGGGAATCGCCCTGTGCAGTGTAGTGGGTGTGCTTTATCTGGATCAATGTTTACTTAAATGTGTGTTTAAAGCTGCTTTTCAAACAGAACTGCTCAGTACAACACACAGCCCAAGCGGGTAGATTACTGACTTAGGCTGTTGAGCGGAAAATTGCCGGGGAAAGACCTGTAACAGATTGGTTAAGGGTTGCCCCAGACAGCATGGGAGGTTGGGAACGCAGCAGAGGAGCATGCAAATCGCTGGCTGTACGCTGCGGCTGCTGGCTTCGGCGTGGATGGGAGATCTGGAGGAGCAGGAGACCTGCTGACATCTTCCGAGCACGCACGCCGATGTTGGAAGACGGGAGGCAGAGCGGGGAGGAATTTTCTCAAAGTAATGCCTCTGTAAATATTTTCAGTTTGAATACATTTTCAGATGTGCTTCTGCAGTAGCATTAAATAAAACAGCAATTATAGAATAACGGTAAAGCATCAACTTAAAGCTAGTGGAAGAAGGAGATACCAAGTCCAGTCTTACCCAAGTTGCCCAGTAATGCTGAGAAAAACGCTGAACCTTATCACCATCCAGCGTTTATCTCATTTGTCTTTTTCTTAACTTCTGTGTTACTTTCTTTTTGGCCTTACCTCCTCTGGTACCCTTCTCTTCTTACTGGTTTCTAGGCTTTATATCAAAAAAAGATATTTGGGGCTGTGTGGGACTTGGTCTGTGTCTCAAAGTAAAATCATCCCAAAATTGTTTCTCATGGAGTCTCATGTAAACACTTGGGGTTTTCTTGCTCTGTGAGTGCTCGTGGCTGTCTCGGTAAGTGCTCTGGAGCTGTGTGACCACACTAGCACAAGGCTCTGCTGGAGGCAAGTGCTGCCTTGTGTTTTGGAGAAGGAAATCTGGAGAAACACCTACCAGAAGAGCTGCTTAGCTTGAGCCTGCTTAAGGTGGTCCAGAGCCTTCTGATCGGCCCTGAACGTGGG